CTAACCAGTTATATTTCGTATTTTCTATACATTATAGTAATAAAGTAATATTATAATATACTGTTTTACTAATTATATGTATAATATTTTATCAAGAGTGTCATAACAAGCAACTATGACAATGAATAACATAGTGCAAAGAAAGGTAAACATGTTATAGAACCGTATAATTTATTTAAAATGATACATTATAAACATCGTACGCATTCAATTTCACGTCAATTACACCCAAGAATCTGCTAATGATAGATATAAAAGTAATACTTACTCAATTATTATTCAACAGTATTGAAATAACAATTATTTTACATGTAACTGGAGCGCAACAAAAATTTCCATGATTTCATTTCTGTCTGTCACTTCAATAAAACATTGAAATAATTCTCGTAAATCAAGTTTTGTGGCAACGAGCAAAGTCAATTACGTATTATCAAAGATAATTAACCCAATTATCTGAGATAATGTAATTGTGCACAGGTATTTAAAATAAAAAAAAAACTGGCTGGCAAAACCTACAAATAAATTGGTTGATATTTAGATACAGTCATCTACACTAATTTATAACTAACGTATGCAAATAAATGCATTGGAACACTAGCATAAATATCTAAAAAAATATATAATAATTCACACAACTATATGTGTAATAATGGAATAAATATAAAATCAACAGTATTTCAAATTATCTCTTCGGAATATTCCTGAGCTCATTTTTTTTAATATTCTTAGCTAGTATAGCTACGAATTTTAAAAACAGAGCTTTTGTCTATTATATAAGAGAAAAGTGTAATAAATATTTTTACAGGTAGAATAAACGAAACGTTACATAACGTATAAATATTTTTTCAACCCATCCGTAAGTTAGTTTAGTTTTGGTTTTAGCTTTTTGCGATTGACAGCTGACAATTTCATATTTTTTTGCTATAAAAACTGTATTGAAAGCAATTTTTGTAGTAGTTCCAATGGTTTTAGTTATTCCAACAGCTACATGTGATCTTTTGTTGTGTGTTTGTGTTTGTTTGTCAATCGTTTTTAGATGTATTTTTAGTGTATAATGTGTTATCTATTATATAAGCGTGGCTTTATTTAATTAATAACATATTATACTATATAACGACATAACTAGGTACATTGTAATTTAGTTAATTAAGTGATTTCTAAAATTTTATTAAGTTTCTTACTTATACGATGAAAGAAGAATCGAACGCCTGAAGCAATCTATAACAATATATGCTTATTTCACGTTTCGCTCTTGAATTCATATAAGGGGCTGTATCTAGTGAGTCAATACATACTCAAATAACATTGTGGTAATCGAAATAAACAATTAGTTATTGTATTTTCATTACATATTTATTATCTATTTATTTATTTTGTTATAACTATGTTACTGTAATAAAGTAATACATGTACCTATATAACCGGTGCCCGCGATTTGTACCGGTGTACTGAGCTTTATATTCAGAATAACAATAGTTTATAATATTTTTGTTTGTGAAAATCATCACAATACATTAGTGAAAATTACATTAAATACGGTTAAGCTGTTTCTGAGATTAGCGCGCTCAAGCGCATAATACATTTTCTCATATATGTTACAGGTACAGACAGCTTTCAATTACATTTTTATTTTACATACATATCTAACTAGGCGTCCTCAACTCAATATTTTATTAGAGAATACATAACAATAAGTAGATAGATAACCAATTTCATTTCCTTATACTATTTCAAAAGAAATGAAATTGATTGATCCATCTAAATGTAACGTTTGATTACATAATTAATTTTTTCAATGAAAGTGATTTCATTTATGTAAATTAAATGTTCAAGCGGGTATAAACAGTTCTCGTCCATTACAGCAACGCATTTTCATGGAAATGATTTGAAAATCTTCCCGTTCTTGGCCATTCATTGACTCAAGGGTGACCCTAGTGATTATTTACCTAATCACGACTAGGTATATATGTATATAAAGACCAATCTTACGTACTCAAACAGGCTTAGAAGGTAGAATTATGACTATAATTTAATTTAAATCAAATAATGTCGTTGTATTGATAAGTATTAGACATCTTTATATATATCTTCAGTACTGTACAATGTAATATAGTTATGTAGATATTTAATTTGTTAGTTAATTAAAGAAAGTAAATAATTTATTTCTAAATAATCTATTCTTCTTTTTTTAAGTATGCAAACGAAGCTACGTGGAACGGATTGTATAAATATGACCAGTTTTACAACTCTACCAAAAACTTCATACTATCAAAAGACATTTTGTATAATATCCATTTAATCCATATATTAAAGAAGAAACTCAAAATGGCGAGATTAAAATATCGTATATCTTAGTAATATTACAAACGCGAAAGTTTGTGAGTATGGCTGAATGCTACTCTTTCATGGTCTAACTACTGAACGGATTGTGATGAAACTTTACAGTACAAACTACAAATTTCATTCCCGTGAAACCGCGGGCACAGCTAGTAAGGAATGTTACAAAGAAAATATATTAATGGAATAAATAATGGATACTTCAGATATATTTAATTATTATAGTCACGGCGGCTCAAAATAATAAAAACAATATTTAATATTAGTTGTACTTTTTTAAGTACATTTTAATTAAGAACAATAACAGCACATACCTACATATTAATATAGCAAGGAAACCGGACATATATGCACTCCTATATATATGTCCTCTTTTCCTCCATTGAATCTCTTCCGGAAAATCTATTAACGGATCAAATAAGCTATGTGATGCTGACAATGTAGTAATTAATTGGCACAGTGCAAATGATCGAATATTAAATTATGTTATTCAAGATATTAATAAATGAATATATTCATTTATATTAAAATCGTTTAAATCAGCAGGTCCATATAAATAGTCGAAATAGGTAACTATCACTAAAACCTATAAGATATGCGGAATAGTTAGGTTTGATTGATCATACAATAAGTAATCTGTATATATAAAAATAAGTAATCTGTCACTTTGAATGCTAGTATTTATAGATTGTGAATCCAGAAATATTGTTACAGTCAGATTTTGTTACATAATACTAATTGCATAATCCAATAACTATTTATTTATTATTTGGAACTAAACGTAAACTTTCTTACCTTTATTTTATTCGAACCATCAAGTTTCTTACACATTCATTTTTGATGAAATTCCATTCCTAATATTATAGTTGATAGAATCGGAAAATTACTGTTACTACTGAATAAACTACATTTCTTTTTAATATATTTCTACTGGTAGTAGTTCTTTGGTATAGAAATCTTAATAAAGCTTAATAAATGTTTCTACCTTAAATCACTTGTATTTTAGTATTTATACAGTGTACGGAGTTTACTTTGTCTTTCGTTTATTTAAATGTTTATTTGTTGTACGTTCATTTGTTCTAATATAGGAACTGCTTTGACCACTTCCTGGCAGCTTTTATTTGACTTACTACAATTATGACTGAGTACCTAATAAATACAATGTTGATGTTTCTCTTTGAAAATTTGTATTCGTATTTAAATCCAGTTTATATTTTTGTTCCCGTATTTGTATTATATTTGGTAACATTTCCACGGCTATGCTTACCACAATACGAAAACGAAATAAATTTATACCATAATAATGTGTTTGTCAAACTTCAGAAGAAGCTTAGGACGTTGGATATTCATGTGATATTATTCATATAATAATATATTCAGCATTCATTTTGTCATTTGCACTGTATTATAATAGTATATCTGTGCTTCTATACTTAGGAAATTCTAATACAAGTTTATAGTGCATTGTGTGTACTAACGATCAGGTACCAGTGTTTAAATATACAATAATTTCTAGATATATATATAAAGTATTTCAATCAGAAGTTTAATACCTACCTACCCATAAACTAGGTCTCCTTAGCATGGGACAAGATGAGGCTATGTGAATTGTCCACGGTTACTATTATATTTATTTATTTTAAACAGAGATACTTACATAGTATCTAGAAACAATAAAAAGAATGCTATAAATTCTTCAGGATTTAGAACTACGCAAAAAAATTAATATGGATTTTCAAGCATAGATTAAAAGACAAATGGGTAAAAAGAAAGGAACCGTCGAGAAAATGAGAATCTGTAATGACTGTGTCATTATCAGAACTTTTAAGTCTTATATTTTCGCGGTTGGTTCACTAAGTATTACAAAACATTAAGAGTCTTAGTGATTTCGAGTTCTTATTACATATTTCCAACTTACTAACTAACATTTTGTCTAAAAAAATGCATAATTTATTTCAAGAACACGATTAGATTAAATAAAATTACTTCATTTTTCGCGTTAGTCGCGTAGTACCTAGTTGAGATTTCCCAAGGAGCAAATTATAAATGTCTCAGTTAAAGTTATTTTTTGTAACTACGCATTTTCTTTTAGTAATCTGAGTCTGTACAAAATATATTATCCCTCTGAATATTTAGAATTTGTTAAATTTATTATCTTAATAAATTTAACAAATGCTAATAAGTAATAATTAAGTATAATATGATTGACAATGAACTGAAAATATACCGAAACATATTAAATATATGTTTTATTTTATTGCTTGATTATCAAACCAATTATAAGACTGATATTATTTTATTATATATGCCCACTGTCATATGTCTATAACAGAGTTTATGTCTCATTTAGCAAAATTGTCTATTATAAGCTATATTTTCCTATGTGACACATTTATAGAACAATGGTTTCACCTTTGTTGTACGTATTTATTCCCTCTCGACTTTTTTATTGCTCTGAGATTGCGCATTGAAAGGAAACCAAGCTGGGTATATACGTAGATACCATTACGTAATAATTAGTATCCAAGTCCCCTGCAGTATCTACGCAGTTTTGTACAGTATTGTTCAGAGGACTATGTTACAGTATTATTTTTACAAACTATTTATAAAAATAATAATAATAATAGGTACTACTAGATAAACTTTTTAATTTACGCACCTGATGCTGTTTTATTTTGTAATCTCAAAACCTGTAGTTAAACCTAAATCTCTTATTTTAGTCAATTTTCACATACCAATTATAACATATTATAATTTATTTTCCTAAAATATGTGTGTATTCGTGTCTGTATTGATAATGCTCTACTAAATTAATTTATATTTGTGACTAGGTTAAAATTTTTTATTAAATAATTCATACTGGCGTATAGACACGAACTATTGTTGCATAATTAATACGAACCGACGCCACACTCATACATTAACGTTATCAGTACTTTACAGAAACTATTTTCATTGTGTTATTTTATACTTGTAATGATTAGCCAATTTATTTTTAAATTTCACATATTTTTGTATTTCTTTGCTCTTCAATCCTGTTACAGTCCGGTTACTATCAATAATTATAATTGGATCCACACTCGTTTTACTGTCATTATATAGTTTTTCGTTGTTATTATTTACAAAATAAATTGTAGGTATATTTATAGAATCTGTACCATCTTCCGGGAAAACAATATATATCACCATAGGTTTATCATCATCTCCACCCATTTTCACATTCGGCGGTGCTGTTGCTATTAAGATTTTGTATGTGTCGAAGGGTTGTTTAATAATAGGTAGATTCAGAAAATTCGTGTTTACCCGCTCTTGTATATAGTTACCATCCTCGCCTTTGTGAGGAAATATTATTTTTACTATTTGGTTTGAACATCCTGTACCCAAATCCGGTAAATGAGGGGAGTGGGTCTTAGCGAGAATTTCCCTCCTAAGGGCAGCCTTCGGCGTTAACACCTGAGAAATTTTTGCGAATAGAGCGCCAAATATTTTCGGTTTAACTTCCTCTTGAACGGAAATAGGATTGAATTTTACTGAGAATCCATTATTTATTGGTAAACTTTGAATTATAATATTTGTGGAATATATTACCAGAAATGATATTGCTACCTGAAATGTACATATTTTTGTATTAATCTCAAAAGAATGTTTCTTTTAAATAAGTTTAATTCAAATAATAGCAGTAAATTAATGAACTTACGACGTGCATTTGAATTTTACACTTTCAACCACAAATGCTAAATATCCACTAATGCTACATTACTTCTTATATACTATTCATTACACGGAGTTTACACTGTGATCATTGTCTCATTTGTTTTTAAAAACATAACCGCACTATAAGGATGTTTTCGCATTAAAATTTTCAAACTAACATGAATACTAAACAACTAAAGGAAATGCTGTGTGTAAAATGACTCTGTAAGTACTAAAAAACTGTTTGAATTGTGACTAGTGAAAGTTTACTAATAAAGTATCCAAATATTATTTACGACCTATTACCTGAAAAAGTGTGATGGACGAACTTCTTGTACTAATAACTCTATTTATATAATTGAAATGGCTAACAAATAAATTATAATGAAATTCTATTGTTTTATAATAAAGTTAGTTGATTTCTAAAGTAACTAATTCAATAGATGTTTTAAAAATATATCTATGTTATGTATATAGTTCATAATATTATCGGTCTCTGTCTGAAACCAACAACATTTAATTAATATGCTACAAATGATCTAAAGTCACATCAAGATGTTAAGTTTCAAACTTACGCCAGCAATTAACAATTTGCCTAACTGTAGAAACCTGCTTTACATACGTACAACTTACATATAGGTAGGTATATTAAGGTAGCACTAATAATAAATTACCTAGTTGTAGCAATAAATTTGTCATCTCCGCTATCTCAAGATTTCCGAACAAAACTAAGTTAGTGGATATTGGTTTTGCATAAATCTTATTTTAAGTGTACGACGTTTTAAGGACTGATAACTTAAATCTTGTAAAGTAATCGAATGACATTTTTTTATATATAGATGATATATGGATGTAGGTCCATATAAATCTATGTATTAAATAATGTTGGTCTATTAATTTAGAAGAATTGACTGAAATATATGTTGTACAATATACCTAAGTTCAAAAACATCAATCAAAGAATTATATAAGGATACCAACATGCTGAACCAAAATTCTTAATAGTCAATATATTTATAAAAATATCACATTAAAATCTTTAAATCTTTTAATTGTAACTTGGTAGGTAGACACAATGCCTACTCATTGTAGCAGAATAATAAAAGTTAGTGGTTATTCGATTCCAGTGAACTATAATAACAATCATGAAACTAGTACGAATATGTCTTTTTGTGCATGAAACATGAAACACGTCTGTAAAATTTTATGACTCCGTATTTTATTGAAATCGTTCAGTGTTGATATAATACATAAATCCACATCAGCATTAAAATGAGAAAATGTATTTATCTGACTGTTTGTTATTGGTTCACGACTAAACGACTTAACAGATTTTAATTAAATTTGACGTGAAGTTAGATTGTAGCACGAGAAAGGATGTAGACTAGCTTTTAGAAAAAAAACATCATGTAAAGGGTGAAATAGAGGATGAAAGTCTGTACAGACTAAATAAGACTATAGCTAGTAAAACGTAAATCAATTCTAGAATGATAATGAAGTTCTGAACGAACTTTAATGAAAATGTATCGTTAAGATAGACTATATCATGAGGACGGAGACAGACGATCTTCAAAATAATTTTATATCAAAAAGTAATTTAGCTATTAAATTTAAAGAAATCGTGGTAAAAATATGTTAGAAATCAACAGATGTCGTATATCGAAGTTTTTTCAGTATAAAGAAAGGAATATTAATTTAGCCCTAACATAGCACTGGTTCCATGACACCATATGTACTACCAACGGTGGAGTACTTCTTCGAAATTAACTTTTTTATATTTGTGTAACATGTGTTATTGAATAATCGTAACAAGACGCAAATTGTCTGTTTGTTTGTATTTTTTATGATAATGGAATGATGCACCCGCCTGCGCTAACGGTTTACGGCGGGGCACCAGTGGAGAATGATAAGATGAACATGAGGTCAGGTCAGTTAGCTCATGGTGGGAAATTTACCAGAAGAAAACCCGTTTCCCCTGCGTTCGTGTGGTTATGTCAACTTAAGAATAGCTGGTGAAATTGGTAATTTTCGATATGTTGTTGAAAATGGGTAACACCAGGCTAAAGAAAGCTTAAAAATATATCTTCCCATTATTTATGCCAATATTTTCCATGTATTCATTCTATATAACGAATACGACAACAATACATAAAGCATCAATGTATATGTTTTATTTATTGTTGTTTAAACATAAACATTTACTGTGGCATTTAGACGCAAGGAGTCACGGGCACGGCTAGTCATTATATAAACAGACCATGTACATAACAAGAGTAAAATTTACTCAGTTGATTTTATCTTTATCCCTTCGCGCATCAAGCCAATAGCGACATCGTCACGTTTTTAGGCCGTCCTTCAACCCTAGCACTGAAGCGTTATAATCAATTTGTGTAAAATACCTTACCTGCGACCTAATTAGCCATTGTACAGTCCACGTAATCGCTACAATAAGCAAAGGCCTTCATAAAACTATCTATAGTATAAGTAACTATTATCTTATTTGACGGCCTCGGTGGTCTATCGGTTTAACACACTACCGCCTTACTTCCGATGGTCGCGGGTTCGATTCCTCGCACGGTTCAAACGTTTGTATTCATGAGTATGATTGTTTGTATCTGTCCGAGAGTCTTCTATGAATGTATTTACGAAAAAAATATATATCTATGTATTTATATCTGTTATAGTGCCCATAACACAAACTTTAGCTCTAGCTTTACTTGGATCTAGATGGCGCTGTGTGAATTGTTATTGTTGTTGGCATTATTATTATTATTTGAAAAGAGTACTAAAGCTGAGTTTCTTGTCAGTTTTTCTCATCTCGAAATTATCCCAAATTTATTATAGCTTTGACATATTATAAGAGTCTATAATAGACATAAATTAATAAAGATATTTTGATATGAAAATGTAAGTTTACTCAATTTTTAAATTTTCTACTTCACGTAGATCTTTTACGGAGATAGATTCATTACAAAGCCATCTGCGTAGGTAGATCTGTCTCACAAATATCTGCCGACAAGTAGCTTGCTTTGCATGATGTATATTGGTTAAAGAGATAAAACAGTAAAAACACAGGATACGGAGTTAGAACATCTAATTTTTTTATTTTTACTCTTTTTTGCACCAGGTACAGAAAATATTAATTAATATAAAAATATGTATAACAATGATGAGTACAAAAGGCGGTCTTATCGCTAAGCAATCTCTTACAGGCAACCTTTAGGTAGACGGTGAAAATATAAGAAAAAGAGTAGGTGGTACAAATGACAATACAACTAAGATTGGCAACATATGGTATTGAAATCTTTACATAACAACGAACTGTCTGTGATGCTGTTATAGTATATAAGTGACACTTACCACTTACCAATGGCGACGTAAAAATCTTATAAAATACTCATATATGTCTATATTTACTACATCATATAGTTGCTCTAAATTATAATAGGAACTAGTATTGTACTCATTTATTAACATATTATTTAAATAAAAATTAACAATTATATTTATAAATGACGGCCTCGGTGGTTGATTCCTCGCACGGTGCAAACATTTGTATTCATGATTATTGTTCTTTGTATTGGTCTGGGTGCTTATTATATTATATTATGTATGTACATATTTACAAAAATATATCTAACTATTTATATCCGTTCTCTAGTACCCATATCACAAGCTGTACTTAACATGGGACTAGATGGTGCTGTTTTAATTGTTGAGGGTTATGTATTTGTTTTTATAAAATACTTCAATGGTCTTTAATTATACAGCGAGGTATTTAACTGTATAGCAAACTCTAATCGCTTACACAGCTAATGAAACGTCGCCATAATGAGATATTCCATCGGAAGTTTCGTCGTGCCCACAATTGAGTTCTCGTATAAGACGAAAAAGGAATAAATTGGAACAAAGTTATTTACTTTGGTAAATGTTCTGCATTCATAATAGAATCGTTTTCACTTTGGTATATATCCAACAGTATAATTCAACCTCTTTTGCATCTTAATATGATTATGAAATGTACAGTTTAGATCTATAGAGAGTGTCATGGTTTATTATTCGGAAAGATCTAAACTTCAAGTGTATTAGACACTAAAAAATTTTGTGTAACAATTATGAGTGAATTTCTGGTGATAGGTAGGTAACAAACCAAATGTTAATCTGACAGACATCGCTGTAGATGTGGTAATTTAATCCCTGCCACTTTACATTGCATTCTGAATACCCTCCGGAAAAGTGGGCATGTAAAGCAGGTATTGCTTTCACCACAACGATGTCGACTTATGAAAATGCCTCTGACTACCTCATCTGGGTTAGCAGTCACGATATATATTTCAAGTATCATGATAAACACAATGAGTTGTATCTGTAACATGAAAATATAAATTAATTATATGAATTTGCTCTTAATCACATCAATTTATATTGATATATAAAATAATATACCTATTATCAAGTACACATTTTATTTTCTTATAGGTATAAATTAATACTTATCAATTCATTCGAATAACTTTCAACTACAATATTTCAGGACAATTCACACAGCGCCATCTAGTCCCAACCTAAGCAGAGCTGTTATGTGTACTAGACAACTGATATAAATACACGAAATCACCCAGAACGATATAAATATAGTTCCACGAATACTACTTCCTCCGATTGGTGATTCCAATAAATATTAGAGCAGCAGCAGTAATTCACTGCAATGAATGCTGAGACCCTTTTAGCTTACAGCATGACAATGCGAATAAAGTTTTATTCACATTGTATAATGTTATGAAAACTAAATAAATGATTTACTTTTATTAGTAAATTATTATTAAGAACTTAGTAATAAAGTATTTATTGCATTAGTATTAGTGCTTTTATTTTGAATTATTACAGTCTTATATTCATTGAATATCATTCTGAAAAGAATCTTATTTTGACTGGGCATTATATATACAATTCAGTAACATCTCCAATTGATTCGATAAATGCCAATAGACTTTACAATCGCACAACCATCTTGTCAGCCACAAAATATTTAGCTATATAAAAGA